ACGGCCACCAGGCTCAGCCCACTCCCAGGCCCCTTCTTGCTCTTCCTCCCCCGCCCAACCCCCCACCCTTGGGGGAAATGGCCTTGGGCGACTCCCCGCGGGTGGCTCTTCTCCTGCGGAGTAAGGGAGGAATGCGCGCGCACGCACACACACGCACGCACACATGAGTGATGGCTTGTGGCATGGAGCATGCAGAAGCACTGGAATGGCTGGCAGAGGGTCATGGCGCAAAGCCCTCCAGATACATACCGGGATTGAGCTGCGGGTTATGCTCATAAATCTAACGGCAATTAGTACAGGCTTCTGGATTAGAGAGGACATATGACCATATTTCCCCAATTCTGGAAAGCCTGCACTGGCTCCCCGTTTGCTTCCATGCCAAATTCAAAGTGTTAATTTTATCACTTTGAATTTGGCCCTAAACGTTTGGGAGCCTTGGTACTTGTCAGAAGTCATTCTCTGATGTCTTCTACCTTGACCACTCATTTTCCTCTCAGGTTTCAGCACAGCCTGGGGCCGCCAGGAGGGCCCCCAAGCGGTTCGCATGCTGCCCAAGCCCCGAGTGACCCACAGCGGCTTCACCCAGGTGGGTGGGCGGGCGTAGAGGGCGGGTGGGTGTAAGCCTAGCGGCGTTAAATGAGGGCCTGAGGGCCTGGGGGCATTCGGTGTGTGGGGGGGGGACTGGTTACAAGAGGGCTGGCTCAAGGAGGAAGGAAGGCCAGTCGCACATACAGAAGCTAAAGCGTCTTCGGTTCTCTACAGCTGATGCCCCAAGAAGCTGGAATGGAAAGAAAGCGCCCCTCCTTCCCCTCCCCTCCTTGTAAAGATGACACACAGACTCCCTCCTCGGCCAGCCTTTGGCTTCTGTGCTGGCCCTGTTGAGGCGACCGGGATTTGAGAGGGGAAAAGGGCCGGGAGGAAAGGGAGGAGCAGAAGCCGAGAGGGGGAAGGAGAGCGGTCCCGAATCGATCAGCTGACGTGCAAGTCGGGTGCAAGCAGGGTCCCCCTGAACAACTTGGATCCTGGAAGAGCCCCTCGCAAGTGAAGGGCCCTCGCCCGTCTCTCTCAGGAGGAGCCCCAAGGCGGCCGCAGCAGCTGCAGCCGCTCACAGGGGCTGCTGAGCCGTGGCGGTGTGTGTGTGTGTGTGTGTTGCGGCAGGGCTGGATCCTGCACACCTGCCCTTGTGTCGTGGTGGTGGCGGGGCCCCAGGCGGCCCTGACCCTTACCATGGACCTGCGAATCAGCGACAGGCGGCTCTTGGCTTTGTTCTCTGCAAACTCCAGGCTGCTGATGTCCTTGAGGCGAGCCCGGTATTTGTTCATCTGCTCGGCCACAACCAGCTCCACGCAGCTGGGGAGAGAAAACGGTCCAGGAGAAGACGTGTGATGGAGGCCAGGCAGGTTGGGATGATGGAGGGGGGCCCTGCGTGTTACCTGCGAATCAGCGACAGGCGGCTCTTGGCTTTGTTCTCTGCAAACTCCAGGCTGCTGATGTCCTTGAGGCGAGCCCGGTATTTGTTCATCTGCTCGGCCACAACCAGCTCCACGCAGCTGGGGAGAGAAAACGGTCCAGGAGAAGACGTGTGATGGAGGCCAGGCAGGTTGGGATGATGGAGGGGGGCCCTGCGTGTTCTGAGAAATGGGAGCCCTCAGCC